GTTTGGGAGGGGAAGTGGCTTTGGATCTTTAGTTCAAAATAGTCAACTAATGACTCTAGGAACACTCCGCTCTGATACCACTTGATGGTCCCGGATAGGGTAAAAGTCTAGAGGGGGGGTGAATAGACTTTTAAATCTTGTTTGACTTTTAAAAGTTTTCCCTCTAAAAGAGTTAATCTATAAACTTTTGAGAGTTTTATAGATGCACAACGGAAGTCTTTACCCTTCATGTAATGAGTGTTTATCCACTTTCTAACTTGGAGAGTGTTTGGCTTAGTATGCTAGCAGTTGGCTTAGCAGGTGGCTAAGAGCAGGGAACTGCAGAGACTACTGCTTAAGAATGCAGAGTATATGATGAAGATAAGGATAGTTGACTGATGAGTATGATAAGGCTTTTTAGTGAGTATGCTTAAGTTGAAGGAAACTATAGCTTTTTTTTTGAAGCAGTGGACTCGGCAGTTGGGTGAGTGTGAGGGAACTATTGAGGCACCTGCTCGAGTTAAACGCTTATTGGGTTAAGCAAACCTTTTGGCGTTGTAGTGATAATCTTGTGCTGTTTGAGATGTTTGACACGAAGTAAGTATATATGAGCAGAGGGCTCAGCAGTTGGGTGAATTCCAGGGAACTACTGAGGCACCTGCTGTACTTAGAAAGTGAATTTCAGAGAACTAATAGAGTACTCCTTTCAAGTAATAATGGTGCACGTTAAGGGTGTGAATTTTGTCTCAAAGAGAGTGAGTAATTAAGCAGTAGGATAAGCAGTTGGGTCAATTAAGACAACTGCTTAGGATGTTGCTGGCAAACTACAATCTTTATGTGAGAAGTGTTGGGTGTGTGCTTTGTTGACTGAAATGAAATCAACACACGATATATCCTGGTTCAGAGGTGGTGTAATCCTCCTACGTCCAGTCCCACCCTCTTTCAGATGGATTTCACTAAAGTATTAAACCCAATACACTTAGTGCCAATATAGCCTTTACAACGCTTAGGCCTAGATTGAAGGTTTTTCACGATGAGTATAGCACCACTCAAAGTTACTCAGTCCTTAGACTTTTCTCTAATGAACCAGTGGGGATCAAAAGGTACTCTATCTATCTACTTACATTATAGGATCCGAACAACTATTCTCCTAAATGTTTACAACAATATGTGATTTGTTACAAGAAAGTTCTAACCTCCAACTAGGAACTAAACTTCTATGATGTAGCAATGAAGAGCTTGTAAACTGGAAGTTTAGTGAAGCAAGAGTCCAGGCAGAGAGTAAAGTTTAGAATAACACTTTCTCGTGAATGCTTGTGAAAGAATTTCTCTCTTTGGATGCTCAAAGCTTGGTTAGAAACTTTCGTTTCAGCCTATATTTATAGACATCTCCTTTGAATTAGTCTCATCCGTTGGTTAGGATGGATTCATCTTTGACGTTGAAATTCTGACAAGGACAAATTGTACATTCGTCTTCTTGTGCTGGAGCTTTAATTTGGGATGATGTATTTGTCTTGAATAATTCACCCGCTGAAGTTTCTCTTCAAGAAACAGTTTCATGTGTGTGTCCCATGCCGCGGCCCCTAGTACTTGATTCGGTATTAAATACCGGTCAAGTTTTGTCTTCAATCATCCATTCGATATTACGAGCTTCGTGACATATGAGTAACTTTTGAGTCAAATAGTAGTTGCGGGTAGGATTCAAATATCCTATTAAGGTAAACAAATTTTACCTTATTGCATTTTTATTTTTCCGGTAATATTTTTAGACTCAAAAATTGTACATTTAATTTGTCACGTTAATACTAGAATAAGATGAGATATAATGTGCACGTGCTAAGTATAGTGGCATCATCAAAATCTTATCAAAATTGGGTATTAACACCTTGTGTTTGCATTATGGTAAATATCCTCCCGTTCTTGAAGGATATAGTGATGCAAGCTGGATAGCTAAGAACTCTGGGAGTTATGGGTGTACTAGCTATGTGTTTGCATTTGGTGGTGGGGCTGTTGCCTGGAAGTCCACTAAACAAACTGTACTTTCTCGGTCTACTTTTGAGGCTGAATTATGTGCGTTGGATACTACAGGAATTATGGCTGAATGGTTTATGGGACTAATGTCCGAGTTACCTATATTCAGCAAGCCAATTCCACCTATTTGTTTGCATTGTGATAGTATTAGTACAATTGCAAAAATTAGGAGTACCAAGTATAATCAAAAGACTAGGAGACACATTCAAGTTAGATTAAAAACTATAAGGAAATTTGTGCCTCAAGGGGTGTTTGTTGTTGATTTTGTTGGATCCAAAGATAATACAACAGACCATTTAACAAAAGGACTTGATTTAAATCAAGTGATAAAATCAAGGTTAGGAATGTGACTGAAACCCAATAATATTATTAATCTACAGTAGCAACCCTACCTATGTGAGTGGAGATCCCACAAAGTAGGTTCAATGCGGTATAAACAAACTGTAGAGTGAATTGTGCATCTCATTAAAATGATTTTATGAGTTCTATTCCTTGATAAGCCTTAGAGATGCTGAAGTTGCTCAGTCAGTAAGAGTTTAAGACTCTGAATGGGATCGAGCTTAATTACAGAGTATGCACTCTTGGAGATGCCCAACTATGAGAATGTTATTGTGTGGCCGCAATAAGAGAATAAGGGTTAATTCTCGATGACATTCTTGAGACATGATCAAGACGCATGGCCGTAAAGCGTCACCCCTATAGATCGTTGTCATTGCCATTATTGTGTTGCTTTTATCCCACGCCAACTGATAGTCCCTGTTTCTGTAACAGCAATGAATAACGATCTAACAACGAAGATTAAACGTAAGGATGAACACAGATTGAATCAAAGTAAAACCCTCTTTAATAGACCGTGAACTCGTACACCACAAAAATATGCGCGTAAGGCTATGAAGAATAAGTACGACGTTAACCTAATCCTAAACCCTCGGCTCCCTTTTTATAGGCGAGGTTTATGTTAGGCGTACAAGGCTTTTAGCCTGGTTATATGGGCCTAACACTTGGCCCAAGTGCTATCTAATTCATGCACTAATTAAATACAGGATTAATAATAAAGCTAATCTATGACAAACTTGATTCACAATTAAAATATCTCCAACAATCTCCCCATTTGTGATCAAGTGCCACTCTGTTATTGCTTATGCGACTTGAAGTAGTGCTTCCTCATATTTAGTACATGTTCATATTGCCTCAGCATATTTGACGTGCACTCGTCGTTAGGTGCACTCAAAATAATTAATCAATACAACACTAATACGTAGTATAGTGTAGTAAGGTTCGTATCCACAGGGAAAGGAATACTTTTCTTTTATATAAATAGTAACAAGGGGGGTTTAGATTTGTTTGGTTTAATAACACTAAGATAAACGACCTATATGAGTTTAATTCAATGAGATGGGGACTTGGTTTTGCTTTTATCCACTTAATGAAATGTTCGTCGATCCCGGTTATATCTTTAACTATCTTCCTCTCGAATACTCAATCGAGGAGTATATCCAGTTCATCGAGGGTAGTTATTAATAACGAGATGTGTTCATTAATAAAACTTACTATCGAGTCAATATAGAACAAGCGCCGTATATTAACTTGATAGTAGCAGTAAACTTTAGATGAAAACGATTGAGATTGATAACCTCAACACAAGCGGTTTATTGGTTTAATCAATATAATTAATTCCCCTTGGCATATTAACCATGAGATGCATGCATTAATATTCCAAGTTTACTACTGTTGAAAGAACCGGATTAATAACAAGCGTATTAACCGATTGATTCTAGTAATAATTAATATGAGAAACAATACTAGTTGATACTTTAAGTAATGTTTAAGATATTAACATGAAATATGAATAGGAATTAATCAATACTCAAGGAAGAATATTAAAATATATGAATCCTACTATGATTAATATCAAGATGTTAACTAATTGTCATCTTAGCAACACTCCCCAATATAATCATAGAGGAAGAAATAGCTATTACTATAACCAATGTCAAGATGTTAACTACTTGTCATCTTAGTAACACTCCCCAACTTTGATATAGAGATAGTATTTTGAAAGAAAGAATTAATATTCAAGGAAGAAGATTAAAGAAAATAACTCACAACTTACAAATTCATTAAGCTTCAAAGTAGCAAAACCAAGATGGAAGAGTTTAGCTCCTCATTTGGAGACTAAACATGATAAAAAATATAAAGAAAGAGCTATTCTATACTGAGCTTAGATGTATAAGGGATTGGATATCTTTTTGTGAAGGAAAGGAGGTGTATTTATAGGTTTTTGGGATGGGATTCGGGTACTCGATCGGGTATATACATGGTACCCGATCGAGTATGTGTGTAACATCCGATCCGAGGCATACTCGACCGGTTTCAGGCTATTTTCTAAATGTATACCCGATCGAGTATATATGAATACCCGGTCGAGTATGCTTAGAAAGTGATATTCGGGCTATACTCGACCGATCTTCGTTTGCAATTTAAAGGCATACCCGATCGAGTATAGCTAATACTCGGTCGAGTATGCTTAGAAAGTGGTATTCGGGCTATACTCGACCGATCTTCGTTTGCAATTTAAAGGCATACCCGATCGGGTATGTCGGTCTACCCGATCGGGTATAGACATAGAATCGTGGCCAAAATCTTCCCTGCATGTTCCTTTGTCTTCGGATCTGATCCGATTTGAAGTTCCAACCTAATACCCGATCGAGTATAGCTAATACTCGACCGAGTATAGACCAAAATTCAGGATCTTCTTTTGTCTTTGAACTTTTGCACCTTCTCTTCACTTTTTGGGTTCACCAACTGTACTTTGGGTGACCAAAACCTGCTTAAGCTCAGAATATGTCTAATCTAACCTATTTACAAGAATTTAACAATCTAATCTATTACACCAAAAGTGTGTAATTTCCAAAGTAAAAGTCAAGCAAAACTAATTAAAAACATAAACATAGAAATGGAAATTACGAACGTATCAACTCCCCCACACTTAAACCTTTACTCGTCTCGAGTAAGATCAAATGTTTACAAGTGTCAATGTTTGTCCAAAAGTTCCACAGTTCAACAAAAACATAATACAAACACAAAGACCACCAAGGATTACAAAGAAAAATGAGTTTTGAACTCAAATTACAAAAGAGCATCTTGGGTTTAATGGCCTCCTAGTGTTGTCTTCTTTTCTCCTCCTCTCTTCTTCTTTATCTCGAATCTTCATATTCTTCATAAGGATATAATGAGTGCCTGCAAGAACAAACATTTCTCTCATATCTCTCATTTTGCCTAGGAGCCTTTTCAGGTTTTCATCCTAGCACCTCTTTTCATTTTCCATTCTCTCCAACTCACTCATTTTTTTTTTATATAAGCCTTTTTTGCTTAGATTGCCCATTTTGTTGGGTTTTCAACCTAACTAGCATTTATTTTCTTTTGTTTATTTTTTTTTTCTTTAATTTTTTTTTTAGTGTAAAAGTTCAAAAGAATTACATGCATAGTGCTAGGTATAAATGAGAATTACATACCATCATGAGTGTCTCCCCCGCACTTGAATCACGCACTGTCCCTAGTGCCCGCCTTCTCCTCCGTAGTAGCTCCCTCCAAAACCGCTCCCTTGGCCCCCATCTCCCATGTAAGTGTCCCCGCCATCTCCGCCGTCGTACCCTCCACCACCGGAGCCAGATCCTCCAAAGTTACCCCAATGAGTGGGGTCATACCATGAGGGTGGTGGAGGAGGGTTCGCCATGGTATGGAAGGATCCCTGCTGTGCCATAAACGAGTACATAGGCCCGTAGAACCTATGTTGGTCTTCCTCATACCGGTGTCTATCGGCCTCCCGGAGCTCCTCCAAACGTTGAAAGCCGGCCCTTTGCTCATCCTCCAATCTTTGAAAACCGGCTCTTTGCTCTTCCTCTAATCGGTTGAGCCGGTTGTCCATTTGAGCTATTCCCGTAAGAAGTTGTTGTTGACCCTCCAGAAGTTGTTGAAAGAAGTCGGGTGGTGGAGGGTTTTGGCTTTGTTCTGGGAAATCATGGCTCATGGTTGGATGGCTATGGAGTTGCTCGTAGGGCTCGTCATCGGGTTGGTTTTGGGCGAGTTCCTGTTCCGGTTCTTGAAGATGTGGTGGGAGGGCGTTTGGGAAGAGGTAATGTTGATCCGGCCTGCCTGTTTTGAAATGGAGTTGGGGGAGTTCTGGGTTGGGCAAGAGGAAGTATTTGAGGGGTTTGGGGTGGATGTGCCAGTTGTACATATTTTTAGGCCTTTCTTCACCATAAACGGTGTGTGAAAAAGAAGTACAGCCCGAGTGGCCTAGCCAAGATATGTTCATTAAACAGTAGTCGGGTATAGGAGAGTCATCCGTATACCCGAACTTTGTGGCCAAGTGCATAATCACCCCGCCCACTACGATAGCACCCTTTGCCACACTTTCCTTCTTTAGATGAGCCCACATGAGATTACAGAGGTTGAAATCCACGTGGATACGGAATAAGGCAACCGAGATGAGGCATACATCCCCCATCCTTGTATGATGGTTGTTGGGACGTCCAAGCAAGGAGTTGGCAAGAAATTTCAAAAAGAGGCGTAGGACTGGATGTTGGACATGACTAATGTAGAGTTGGGAGGAGCTAACTTTGGTCTCCCCGGTCATCTTGGTCCATAGGGTGTGGCCGAAGGCGGTATTGTCGGATATAGACTTTTGGTACGGGACCGGAATACCAAAGTGTTCGGCAAACTCAAGTTTCGTGATGGTGTGATTGTGATTAAACAATCGAAACCTGAGTTTATCATCTCTAAAGTCCTCCTCATTGTTCTCAAAGTGCACCGAGCTTAGGAATTCATAGATAATTTTTTCATTTGAGTTGTATTTCATTTTGAAAATTTTATCCATATGCAACTCATGAAAAAATTTCTTCATTATTATGTATACTCCTAATTCCTTTAGAGCATCAAGGCATAAAAAGCGGGAAGGTTTGACTTGCCTTTCAATTGTGGACATGAAGCGTGTGCGTTGTTCGTTGTCCACGAAAAGGATGTCCTCGTAGCCCGGGACGGTTGCCCTAGTGCTTGAGCTTTGCCCTTTCTCTTTCCTTGGAGCCATTTGGAATGAATTTGGCCTTAGAGAACCGAAATTGGAAGATGGGGGTAGGGTTTTTCGGACCTCTGAAAGTTGGGGGAGAATGGGATTGATGGGTATGAACGTGTAGAGGAGGATGAGGGGAGTGTTTTGGCGTTGGAATGGGTGGATTTGGTGAAGATTTGGAAGAGATATGGTAGAGAGAAGGTGTAAAAATGGGGTTTGGGCGTTTTTTGTTCGAGATAGGGTTGGGAATTTGGAGAAGATGAAGTGTTTTGGGGCTGATTTGGGGTTATAAGACCCGTATACCCGATCGAGTATGTGCTGGTACTCGGTCGGGTATGGCTGGAAAGTGTAGTTTTTGAGCGGCCTGTCTCCTGTACTCGATCGGGTAGGGTGGAGTTACCCGGTCGAGTATGCTTAGAAAATGAACTTTGTGAGCATCCTGTCTCTTGTACCCGGTCGAGTATTCCTCCATACTCGATCGGGTATGTGCTTTTTTTTCATTTTTGAAGCGTGTACTCGGTCGAGTGTGGGAATCAGTCCCCTTCAATTTTAGCATTTCTAGCGATACCCGACCGGGTGTATAGTGATACCCGATCGGGTATTGCTTATTTTTCAAATTTTGAATGCTCCCTCGATCGAGTAGTGCCCGGTCCCTTTTCTTTTTGCTCATACCCGACCGAGTATAAGGTTATACTCGATCGGGTATGTCCCCAGATGTTCAAAAACCTGCAAATTTTTTATTTCTTTTTTTTTCAAAAACCCATGATTAGTGCCCTCCCTCTCAACCTCTCAAAGACATAATTGAAAACATTGACAGGGGGGGTTAACAATAAAAGAAAAATGTACCTTGCTTGGGTTGCCTCCCAAGAAGCGCCTTAGTTAACGTCGCGGCACGACGCCATTGTTGTGTTCATTCTTCAAAGATTGGATCGATGAGATCCATGCATTCAATGCTTTCTTTCTGGAAACCTTCAAGGAATGGTTTGAGTTGATGTCCATTAACCTTGAGGATTTTTCCGGTATCGAGGCTTTTTATTTCCACTGTGCCATGGGTGTAGACTTTGACCACCTCGAATGGTCCTTCCCATCGTGATCTCAATTTTCCGGGGAAAAGGCGAAGGCGTGAGAGAAAAAGAAGGACTTTGTCTCCAACTTGGAAATCCTTTCTTATTATCATTTTTTCATGCCATACCTTCGTCTTTTCCTTGTAGATGGCGGCATTCTCATAGGACTCCAATCGAAGCTCTTCTAGTTCCTGGAGTTGTAGCTTCCTTTGCTCTCCTGCTTTAGCCATGTCGAGATTGAATGTTTTGACCGCCCAATAAGACTTGTGTTCGAGTTCGACCGGAAGATGACAGGCCTTACCGAACACGAGTCTATAGGGTGACATTCCAATTGGGGTTTTGAAAGCGGTCCTGTATGCCCATAAGGCATCATCCATGCGCAGGCTCCAATCCTTACGGTTCGGATTTACTGTCTTTTGAAGAATTGAATTCAGCTCTCTGTTTGATACCTCAGCTTGACCGTTTGTCTGTGGATGGTAGGCGGTGGAGAGTTTATGTGTGACGCCATATTTCTTTAACAAGGTACTCACAGTTTTGTTGTAGAAGTGAGTGCCTCTGTCGCTTATCAAGATGCGTGGTACCCCAAACCTTGAGAAGATGCGGGTTTTGAGGAATTCAGTCACTGCTTTGGCATCATCGGTCTTTGTGGCTTTTGCTTCCACCCATTTGGATACGTAATCTACCGCCAATAGAATGTATAAATTTCCATGGGAATTAGGAAAAGGTCCCATGAAATCTATTCCCCACACATCAAAGATCTCCACGTAGAGCATAGGAACTTGGGGCATCTCATGCTTTCGAGAGATGTTGCCCATGCGTTGGCAATTATCACAAGATTGACAATAGACATGTGCATCGCGGAATAAGCTTGGCCACCAAAAACCACATTCAAGTACCTTCATGGATGTTCGTTTTCCTCCAAAGTGGCCACCACATGCATGTGAGTGACAAAAAGCAAGTATGGATCCAATTTCTGTTTCGGGAATGCATCTTCGGATGACTTGATCTTTGCAATGTTTCCATAAATATGGTTCATCCCATACGTATTGCTTTGCATCATGCTGGAGTTTCTCTCTTTGAGCTTTAGAGAAGCTTGGTGGAAACCTGTTTAGAACAAGGAAATTAACAATGTGAGCGTACCAAGGACGAATTTCCTTAAGGGAGAAAAGGGTCTCATCGGGAAATTCGCCTCGGATATCATCTTTGATATGATTGTTTCCTTCGCCTAAGACCAAACGGCTCAAGTGATCGGCCACCAAGTTCTCCATGCCTTTCTTGTCCTTGATCTCAACATCAAACTCGCTCAGGAGTAGTATCCATCGAATCAGCCGTGGTTTGGCCTCTTTCTTTGTCATCAAGAACCTAATAGCCGCATGATCGGTGTAAATGATCACTTTGGTACCAAGTAAGTATGATCTGAATTTTTCGAGCGCATAAACGACGGCCAACATTTCTTTTTCGGTGGTGGCGTAGTTGCGTTGGGCGTCATTGAGTGTGGTGGATGCATAATAGATCACATGAGATGCTCTTCCCACCTTTTGGCCCAAAACAGCCCCGACCGCATAGTCACTAGCATCACACATGATCTCAAAGGGAAGAGACCAATCCGGGGCTTGGATGATAGGTGCGGTTACTAATTTCTCCTTCAAAGTATTGAAGGCCTTCTTGCAGTCCTCGGAGAATATGAACTCCACCTCCTTTTGCAAAAGTGTGCATAAAGGAGATGCAATCTTTGAGAAATCTTTGATGAACCTCCTGTAGAAACCTGCATGTCCAAGGAATGATCGTATCTCCTTAACGGTGGTAGGATAAGGTAGTGATTGGATAACCTCCACTTTTGCTTTGTCCACCTCCATTCCTTTGGACGAAATTACATGGCCTAGGACAATTCCTTCCTCCACCATAAAGTGACATTTTTCAGAGTTTAGAACAAGATTTGATTCTAAACAACTCTTCAAAACAAGAGATAGATGAAGTAGGCATGAATCAAATGAGTCTCCATGGATTGTAAAATCATCCATGAAGACTTCCATAAATAGCTCAACATATTCAGAGAATTTGCTCATCATGCATCGTTGGAATGTGGCCGGGGCATTGCAAAGTCCGAATGGCATGCGCCGGTATGCAAAAGTGCCAAATGGACAAGTGAAAGTGGTCTTCTCTTGATCTTCAGGGGCTATAGGCACTTGAAAGTACCCGGAGTAGCCATCAAGAAAGCAATAGAACTTATGCCCGGCAAGTCTCTCAAGCATTTGGTCGATGAAGGGTAAAGGAAAGAAATCCTTTCTAGTTACCGCATTGAGTCTACGGTAATCTATACATACCCTCCATCCATTTTGAATTCGGGTGGGCATTAGTTCTCCATGTTTGTTTTCCACTACCGTGACTCCGGTTTTCTTTGGGACCACTTGGGTTGGGCTAACCCATTTGCTGTCGGAGATGGGGAAGATTATCCCCATTTGGAGTAGTTTGATCACCTCTTTTTTGACCACCTCCATCATAGGTGGGTTTAGTCTTCGTTGCGGCTGTCGTACCGGCTTGGCCTCATCCTCCATTAAGATGCGATGCATGCAAGTAGATGGACTAATGCCTTTGATGTCGGTTATAGTCCATCCAATTGCTAGTTTATGCTCCTTGAGCACCGCTATCAATTTGCCTTCTTGTTCTCCGGTCAATTTGTTTGAGATAATGACCGGTAGTGTCTCTTTTTGCCCCAAAAACACATATTTCAAATGTGTTGGGAGTGGTTTCATCTCAACGTCGGGTGCCTGCAAAACTGAAGGTAGAGGCTTTTCCTCGGGGATGGTTAGTGGAAATGCCCTAGACCCCGGTGGCATAAGTGGGAGTTGGAAGTGAGTATCCAATTCCACTATCATAGCTTGTGTGTTGGGGGTCAGGGCAAGTTCTGAAGAGTTTTCCCCGAAGTCATTTTCAAGTATACTTAACA